AGTTTTTGTTTATTAATTGATAAATATTTAAGTGAAATACAGCATTCTCAAGTCTCCATACCAGCTAGTACTAAGGTTTACCTGCTAGGAGTAAATTCAGTATATATATATATATATATCAATAAAGCCACATTATTAACATCATTAATTAAGCATTTGCCAACATTTCATGCTTCTGCTATAACCTTTTTATGTTTAGCTTTCAGTTGAGATACAAATGATTTCAACTATGATTCAGTAAGGAAGGTCAAAGTGTCATGATAGTCAGCAGTAGGATGAGCAGACAGGAACACTTTGAAAGCAGCTATAGGTATAATATTGTACTCGGCTTGCTGCACAATATCTACCAAGGTGGTTCTAAATGATTCCTGAATACCTCTGTGTCATTTTGAGACTTCCATGCTTCTTGTGCTTGGCTTTTAAACTTGTGATACGCTCTCAGATTTTAGTCATCTTACCACTTCAAATCACTTTTTGCAGCCCCAATGCTGAAAGAGTGTAGGAAATGCCTTCTTTTTAGCCAATAAAAATGTTCAAAAAATTTCAGTTCAAGTTAAGAAAAAGCAGATTGGGTAGTTTTGTTGTTTTTTTCAACAAAAATGTCCCCCACTGGCTCATGAGGGGCCTGTTAATATTTGTTTTAAGTGATTGTTAAGATGTTCTACTGCTAGCCTAGGAGTTTAAACTTTGATAATTTAACTTGGAATTGGAGAGATGATAGTAATTAGTTTATAACAATACATTGTAATAAACAAGTTAATTTAAAAATAAAAGATTGTATAAAAAATTTATTTAAAAGATAGCTCTTTAGAAAGTTACAATATAAAGTTTCAGCTAAGTTTTTTAGCTTTTAAAAGTAACAGTTGAATAACCTGAAATATATTAGTCAAGGAAAACACTGTGGAAAAATTTTTGTTTTTTCTTTTCTGTTGTTTCTTTTCATTTTTTTCCACAAAAGTCTTTTTTTTTAAATGTCCAAGAATGTTTTTTTGTTAATTTGTATTTGTAGTTAACAAGCCTTCCAATTCAAACATTGATCCTGGCAAAAATTACTTCAAAGTACACTTATACTCTGAAGTGATATTTAACCATGAATTATATCATAACAGCTTTTGTAGTGCTATTAAAATGTTCTACTGAATCTAAAACTAGCTGACATTATAGTAAATGTGGATGAATGAAATAATGCTAAGATCTAATTGTTTTATCTCTTTCTGAAGACACCCCTCGACGCTGTTGGTTTCTTCATTGGCTTATGTGGGCAGCAAGTGTTACAGGAATCTTCATGGTACTCCTTTCAAGAGGTCATTACACTATTGATGTTGTTATAGCATATTTTGTGACCACTAGAGTTTTCTGGATGTACCATACATTAGCTAATAATCCATCTCTGAAAGTAAGTATTTCATTACGTACTGTTTATTATAGTAAGATGAAATAGCATCCCATATATATAAATATGATATTCTGTTACAGAACAGCTGGATTTTGCCTTAGTTTCTTGTAATGTTAATAATTTCAAGCACAATTACATTAAAAAGTGGAAAGTAGCTCTGTATGTAGTCAATTAAGATTTCTTTGTCCTAATTTAAACCGTTCGTTTATTCTTGTGGATGTTGTACACTGAGTGGTCACAAGTAAATAATTTTTCATCATTTAACTGATTTATGCTAACTAATTTGTGTTCACAGAGCACTATATAAATGAAAATGGTCCGCACACTAATTATCTTTTGCTACAACATGCTTAGAACTCAAGGTT